CTTGGGCTACTGAATCACACCATGGTGGTCAGAGAGAGGTTGAAATGCCTCTGTGAGTCTTCTCGGCCCTCAGATAGGTGGAGTGTGGTGACAAAGCCACCAGTTAGTCTCCTTTTTAAGAAAAAACGAATGTCCCGCTATGACATATATTATCTAAGCCATATTAAATAGGTTTCACAAAATTAGTGTATGATTCTTACTAACAACACTTAATGCATAAATTATGTGACGGTGATTCACTTTGATTGTGTGACTTAACTTAAATTCAAGTATTTTAACAGCTAGACTGTGCAATACATTACTAAAGTTCTTGAATTGGAGCGGAACCGACAATGTTTGTCTAAAGTAATTCCAGTGTTTTCCACTACACTATGAAATTTAACTGAAATGGTGCAAGTTTAATATTTAGATGATAGCAATGATGGATAGGAATGGAAATTAAACTCTTTAGGCTTGAATTATTCACATATTGTTGCCATTGTTTCAGAGCCAAAATACAAGAAAGAAGAGCTGCTAATTAATATTTACATTAATGGAGAGAATAAATTGATACTGAATTTTCTGTTTACAAGATTGAACTTTGTTGATGCACAAAATCGGTGAGTTTAGAACAACATAAAATGTCAAGTTTGTGACCTTCACACTGTTACTTTGGCCACCTTGTGATGATAATATGTAAAGAGATAAATATGGAAGCAAGATGTACGTGATTCATCCTAAGTTTGGCTACGTCCACGGGATAGAGGAGTTCTTATTAATAGTGAAGAGATTACACAATACATAGGTTCAAACATAATCATCATTAGTGGGTTCTAATGACGAGTTTAAGTACAATAACGACATTAGAGATTAATTGTAGGAGAACGGTCTTATTTTATAGTTGAGGAGAGTCGCTCGCTTCCGTTTGCAGTCAATGTGGGACTTTAGGAGTTTTATTTTGAAGTTAACACGTGTCGTGTTGTGAATCTTATGATTGGCCTCCTAGTTGGAGAAAAACTCTCGTGCTTCGACAAGGGTGCTTCAGCACGACTCCTTCAGTGGGTCCCGGAAGGTATTAAGTTGACCGATGCTTGGTAGTTTCGGGACTGATAAAGTATGGCACAAACTAACCTAATCTCTCACTTACAGTTGAAGAAAGATATTACACACACACACACGCATATGTGTGTGTATATATATATATATATTAACATGTTTGCGTGCATTGATGCTTTAGAAAATTGATCATCTGTAAATAAAAGATGAATATAGGGTATAATTGCCAAATACATGAGAAGTCAGGCTTTCTGTCAATTGTGAAAACATTTTATGGGATTTTCTTTTCCTAATAAAATGACATAAGCCATGCCGTTAGTAAAATCTGATCCATACATAACATCAAAGGTGTCCTCAATGGAAATGGAACATTAAGTCTTTTACAACTGTCCAGTCTCTTCAAGAACCCTAGCTAGGATGCATTGGAAATTTAGAAGAATGACTATTAACCACCCTGCAATTTTTTCTTACTTCCCCAGGCTGATCCACCGTCAAGTCACCCATCTTTATCATGCCCTTCACAAAAGCCTTGAAAAATTCACCTTGATCAGTGCTGAACTGCTTCACAAATTCCCTCGTCTCCGGAAACGTGAAAAGCGTTTGATCCGAGTTCAGAAACCCTCTTCCGGCAACCAAGTCCCTGAAGTACTGGTTATCAAACTTTACAGGCGTAGCATCAAGGTCTCCGGTAATGTTTTGGTCCACGTTTAATGGGCAAAGCTTGTCTAGCTTTTGTCTAAACTTTGGATCAATGGCAGGGTCTGGCCGGCCACTGCCGGATTGATTGTACAGCCGAAATATGATGGAAAAGCACCGAGCTTTGCCAATAGAGTGTGACCCCGAAAGCGCAACAAGGTCCTTGACAGAGAGATTAAATTTGGCAAACAGGCCAATGAGGAATGTCGCATTGGATCTTGGACTTGGCATAACGTTGTCTGAGTCTTCTTTTCTTGCTGTTAAGCTATCCAATCTTCCCAACTTCACTTCCCAGTAAGGCCCCCCTGTCTAATAATCACACAATCATGTTAAATACAAATATATTCCTTTCAGTCATAGTTAAGATTCTCATCATTCACTTGTTACATCGCATTGGAGCTCATTATGGATTAGACTGTACTAAATGTAGTCAAGTTAACGTTAAATTTTAGGGTTTGTTTGATAATTGTTTTAGTTCAATTATTAGGTTTTAGTAACTGAAAATTAAAAGTTAAATTTTGTAAACTCAAAAAAGTAACGTTTCATTTTCAATAAAGCAGTTACAAACAAGTTTTTTTGGTAATCAAACGGACCTTAATGTATGTTGGACCAGAAATAAGTTCATGCATATAGGAGATAAATAAGAAAGATTATTACCAGATAAACAGCATCTCTAGACGCCATGATTATAATGTCTGCGCAAGAAACAACTCCTGGACACACCTTCTCCAAGGCTTCTTTCACTTGGTCAACAACTTCATAAGATCTCAGTGAATTAATATTTGCAAGGGCTAGTTTTTCTCCTAGCATGGTTGGTGTGTCATCAAGCAACAATGAAGCATCACAACCCTAATTTACAGATATAATACAAGTTAATTAATTCATCATTAACAACTAACAATTAGGATTAATCAGTAAGGAAATAAAGAATGTTGTTTTGTATTTATAATTCACTTACATTGACAAAGCAATCATGGAACTGTAAACGCATGACCGAAGCAAGACTCCGTGGCTCTCGAATCAAAGCCACCTTCATGACATCCTGGACAATGGATCTAGCTTTCGGGCAGGTTTCCGAGTAATAACCGTGGCGGAGTTGCGCGGTGGCGCCGGTTATCATGTGTAGGATGAAGAGTGAAAAGAGAGGACACATTGAGGATTCTTGAGGCACTAGTCAGTGGTAGGCAGGTGAGCAATTGGTTCAGTTGTATGTGGGGGCGCTTTTTGAACTTGTGGGCTGCATCACGTGCATGCATAGGAATTTAGTGGAAACAATGGATAGTGGATGTGAAATGGTTCATTCCCCTTCTACCAAAAAAATGAAAAAAGAGTTATTAATTTGACTAATCTTCAAAGGTGGTGAAGATTCGTCCAAATATAGAAGTTATATGATTTAGTGATATTTTTCTTCATCCACTTGTAAGTAAAATTTTCTTTGATTGAAATCTCATGAATTACGAATTCGATCCTAATTTATTCTCTTGCCTTTTAGTATAAATATATCATTAAACGAATCAAATATGAACGTGATTAGCTTACATTCGAAAATTTATTTAATCATATTTGATTCAATAATTGAACTAAGATGTATAATAAGATGTTAATGCAATAATGTAGTGTGTACATTTATATAAATTAAGTTGAAAGGAATATTTGGTCGTTGAAGTTTTGAACAAACAAATTGACCCACATAAATAACTCTAGTGGTCCTTATTCAATTCAAAACAGTAATAAACTTTTCCGGATCGCCGATGGTGGACATGTGGGACACAGTGACAATTGTGGATAATCTCACGATGTGGACAGTTTTAGGTAAGATCAGACGTGGACAGTCATATCATTTGAATTAATCAGATTTTTAAATTTAGTTCATTATTTAATGAATTAATAATTAAAAAAAAATTAGTTAATTAAAGTATGATTGTAGTATACGATGAGTCTTTCTCCTTTCTTTTCTTAGGTTTTGCAAATTTTTCAAATGATATGGTTGTCCACATCACATGTCACCTAAGGTAGTATAGAAATATAGTATAAAAACATGGTATGAATAGTATTACTCTAATCTCACTTCACACCTTCAGACACACTTTCGACTTACTATTCCTTTGCATTGTGTATTTATATTGTTATTCATCTCCCAACACCATTTGAGCTTAAAAGTAGAAGATTAACAATCACTAGCTCCTATTAATACAATCATTTATTATCTCACTATGAATGGATTCTTTAATAATAATAATAAAATAATAAATTAATGAAAAAAACTTGAAAACTTTAAGTGATAAAAACAAAATAAAAGATTAAAATGAATAGTACTATGTTTGAGTTTTTAGTGTAAAAATATGATTTTTCGTTAAAATGAACAGTATCTCGGATTTTTCGTTAAAATTTTCTAATAATAATAATTAAATTTACTTGATGTGTATTGCCGGCTTATTGCATAAATGATTAAACGTTGTCTAACATAGTGTTGTCGGCTCTCCACGTGGAGGCGAGACTGCACATGAGGGTTGTTTAACGGAAGATACTTACGTAGGTTAGAAAGTATTCATAACAAATAATGGGATTTTGGAAATTTTATTGTTGATGTTAAAAAAAAAAAAAAAAAAAAAAAGGAAGGGTGGGAGATGCATCAGTTACTTATTTATTTATTTTCATGTGCGAACGTAGTGCTTTCTGACTCTATCCTCCATTCGTCCCTTAATGTATAGTATACTGCATCAAGTTGAAAAATACTCCACACATTTTGAGATTACACACAGATCGAGGAACATAAAGAATGCTTGGGATTCCGAACGAGGTGTGCCTGGCCGACCGCTACATAAGTTGAAAAACTACGACTAGAAGCCAAGCCGGAAGTGACAGGCTACACACAGGATTAAAAAGCGAAAAAAAAAAATTTCAACAACCAAACAAACACACTGTCCAAAGACATTTTAAAACTTCTCAAGCAAAAAATCCTTTCATTGCAACGAATAGCGCAGATTAATGTATTTAGAAACTCTATGAGTAGTATATGGACTCCTGATTCGGTTCATGCAATCACAGTTTAATTTCTTTTATGTAAAACTAATCGAGCATCAGAAATTTGTGCTTGAAATTTGTGGGAGAGTAAGCGTCATTAGCTTCTTTTTGTTTCTTTCTTTCAAACAATGCACATACGATGAAAATTACTAGCACAAATTGTAACAATCCTGTTGAAGCGGCGTAAATAAAGTAGTGTTAATCAAATCTCTGAAGAACCGAAAGTTTTGATTGTTAACCAAATCTCAGAAGAACCGAAAGTTCTGATTACTATAGAAAAAGCCTTGCTAACAATTTACAGCACTACGTTATATTCTATGTTCGTATGTTGGAACCAACGTCCACATTATGATAAACACAATAAGCCTTGTTAATGCGTATTGTCTCTAGTCTCTATTCAGAAAGTCGGATTCATCCCTCCAAGATGGTGATTAGCCACCCTACAATTCCTTCGTACCTCCCCAGGCTGCTCAAACTGCAAGTCACCCATCTTTATCATCCCTTCAACGAAGGCCTTGAAAAATTCTCCTTGGTTACTGCTAAAGTGTTTAACATATGTCCTGGTTTGTGGATATGTGTAAAGCGTCTGATCAGAATTCAGAAAGCCTCTCCCCAAAACCAAGTCCTTGAAGTACTGATTATCAAATACCAAAGGTGTAGCATCCAGGTCTCCGGTCACATTTTGGTCCACGTTTAAAGGGCAGAGCCTGTTCAACTTTTCTCTATACTTTGGTTCAAAGGCAGGGTCGGGCCTCCCAGTGCCGGATTGGTTGTACAGCCGAAACATGATGGAAAAGCACCTACCTTGGCCAATGGAGTGTGACCCCGAAAGGGCAACGAGATCTTTGACAGAAAGATTAAATTTGGCAAAGAGGTCAATGAGGGAGCTTGCGTTGGCTCTTGGACTTGGCATAATGTTGTCTGATGCTTCCTGGCTAGCTGATAAGCTATCCAATCTCCCTAATTTCACTTCCCAATCAGGTCCTCCCGTCTGATTAACACAAAATTATGTCATTATATCTTCGAGTACAAACAGCAGAAAGAATTTTAGTCCTTTTGCAAATTCATGTCTACAAAACCCAAATGTGACGACACGATTCAAGAGACCACAGCGCAGATACATTATATAAAACATTTCAAATATATCAAGTTTGAACTGATCAGTAGCTCTTAAGTTCTTAACCAAGACCGAGCAATAACGAAATTTGATTGCGCGTTTTCCAGAATTGACAGCAAACAAAAGGTACAGAAGTCCCTTCACAGATACAACTGATAATTCCCTTAGAAAACTACGCCTCGGTTACTTTGAATTCCGATCAAATGACTCTTAACTTCACTTACGATGCAAAGCTTAAGTGCATATGTTTGGGGGCAAATCTATGACTGATATTCTGACTCTAATTTCCAAATTGCAAACAAATCCGTATCAAATTATGTACAAATCAAAACTCTGTTTTAGGTAATGAAATAAGTAAGAAAAGTTTGATACCAGAGCAACAGCGTCTCGAGCCGCCATGATTACGATATCAGCGCAAGAAACAGCTCCGGGACAGACCTTCTCCAAGGCTTCCTTGGCTTCATCAACCACCTCATAAGATCTCAGAGAATTTATATTTGAAAGGGAAAGTTTTTCTCCAAGCATTGTTGGCGTGTCATCAAGTAACATAGAACCATCACAGCCCTACAAGCATATTAATTTAAAGATTAACAAAACTTGGGAAAGATATGGAATTTTTTGCAGAAAGTTTTTGTTTATTTACATTCACAAAGCAGTCATGGAATTGGAAGCGCATGACAGAGGCAAGGCTGCGGGGCTCTTTGACTAGAGCCTTCTTCATGACGTCCCGGACAACGGATTCTGCTTCCGGGCATGTTTGGGAGTAATGGCCGGGGCGGAGTTGCGCGGCGGGCACGGCTATGGGCAGAAGGAGGAGGAGGAAGGGGAGGAACAAGAGAGGAGACATTAAGTTAATAGGAGGCAGAGGTTTGTGTGCCTGAATTTGGGAGTGCCTGAATTGCAGTTTTCGATATGGGCTTTTATTTAGGAAAAATCTCTCTCCCTTCACTCCTATTTGTTCCACCATTTTATCCTATTACATAATTATAATTAAGTACAAAATAAAATTAATAAAATAAAAATTTATTAATAAACCCACACATAGTAATTGTGACATCCCACATCGCCCAGGGGAGTAATCCTTATATGTATATTCCCATCTCCATCTAGCACGAGGCTTTTTGGGAGCTCACTGGCTTCAGGTTCCGTAGGAATTCCGAAGTTAAGCGAGAAAGAGGCTAGAGCAATCCCATGATGGGTGACCCACTGGGAAGTTTCTCGTGAGTTCCCAAAAACAAAACCGTGAGGGAATGGTAAGCCCAAAGCGGACAATATCGTGCTACGGTGGTGGAGCAAACCCAGGAAGTGATTCGTCCCGGGCCGGGATGTGACAGTAATCAAACCCTAACATAGAAAAAAAAACAAGTTATTTTTTAACAATGATTAATGATTTTAAAGTTTTGAATGCTCAACCTAAACTATGAATTGATTTATCCCAGTTTGAATTCAATTTTTTTTTTTTTTTTTTTTTTTTTAGGAATTAAGAACAAAATCAACTCCTTTTCCAACGTATATAATTACTAGCAGAAATATATATGAGATGTAAAATCTAAAGTCTAACTACTTGTGTGAATGTGTCACGCTTTTTTTCGTTTCATTTATATGATGAATGCTCAAACTAAAGTATGAATTGATTTATCCCAGTTTGACTTCATTTTTTTTTTTTTTTAGGAATTAAGAACAAAATCAACTCCCTTTCCAACGTATATAATTACTAGCAGAAATATATATGAGATTTAAAATCTAAAGTCTAACTACTTGTGTGAATGTCACGCTTTTTTTTTCATTTCATTTATGAAGGGTGGAGGTCATACTTTGCTTGTAGTTATGATGGCAGTGCATAGCATCAAAATAGCGACTGTCCTAAAATTTGAAGGTGTTGAGTTCCTTATATTTGATGAAACAAATGTATGTAGTCTCCAAAAGCTTCCCTTTCTTCCTCTTGTTTCAATCCATATTAATTTTTCATAATTTAATTCAGTTGTTGGATATCAAAAATATTTTAATTTCATGAAAATAAAGGAACGTGAGGTTCAAGTAAGTTTCAAGTAAGCATAGCAAATATGCCTTCATTTTAAAGGTGATTTTTTTTTATTATCTTGATTATGATAATTAAAACATAATCTTGTTTTGATTATGAGATTATTAGGTGTCTTTATCGGGGAGTTGGATTCTCTCCCCTCCTAGTCTCCTTCCCCTTCCCTCCCTTCCTATTTGAACGGTTATGGTTAAGTCACGTCAACATTTTGTGTTAATTTTTAATAGTCAGAAGAAGACAAAAAGCAGTATGTGAGAGGAGGGGAAGAAAGGGGATGGGAATAAGAGGGGAGAGAATCCTACTCTCTTTATCGGTCATGTAATGGGAGGCATTGTGCCTCTCTACTTCTCTGCAAATTGGCATAGGCCTTGGAAAGGCTAATGAGACTTTATGAAATGCACAGAGTTTGAGATAATTTTCGTCTCCTTCGATTGCGATGAGGAAAAAATTCAATGAACACTTCAAATGCATGTTGTGGCTGGCAGTGTCATTTGATGCTAATCTTTATAAAAGATTGAGTGATGTGTGCTGCATAGAATGGTGGCAAAATACTAACTTTGAGTTTTTATTTTCTAAATAGGTGTAAAGATAAATTTACATATTAAATTAGGTTTGTGAGGGTAGTTTAGCTAGTAAATTGGGTTTAAAGAGATATTGATAGTTTAACTAAAAGTAATATGGGTGTAGCAAAAGGTTATATGGGTTCAAATAAAATTTCTCATTTTCAAAATTTGTTGAATGTATGCAAGAGCCTGTGTTTGGATGAGAAAATAAATTTAGAATTTTGACAAAAGTTAAAATTAATAATTGACAAAAGTCAAAATTAATAATTGACATGTACAAATTCCTTTTTTTTTTATTCATAAATAAAAAAATTTAGACTTTTCGTGTAGAAAAAAAATCTGAAATTTGGGACCTTTAATTTCCAAGTTTAAATTTTATTTTCAAATTTATATGAGTAAGAGTTTAAAAATTAAAAAAAAAATTCCATACTCAACTTCTATTGTTATTAGGTTAACTAAATAAAAAAAATTATAAATTTTAAAAATAAAATTTCATCATTTTAAATTTTTTAATAATCTTAAGTTTTTTGACTTTTGTATTTTAATTTTCGTCATTTTAAATTTTTTTTATTTCAAATAGAATAATAGAGTAATAATATCAATAGTAAAAAGGGGAGTCCAAGTGGTGTGTTGTGAGTTATGGATTAATTGATGAGTAATATTAAAAAGATTAAGTTTATAAATTTTATTTACAAATTTAATCTTATTATCTTTTAATAGTATTATCTTTGACCGATGGACTGATGAATTCAAAAAAGGGGGTTTGGAATTTGGATTCTCGTCGTGTCTCTCTCTTGGATGGGTGTCGACAAATAAGAGGTTCTTTGCCCCAAAAAAGAAGAAAAGGAAATAAGAGGTGAGTTTGTATGTTGTGACAAGAGGAGGCAGCAGGAGCCAATTGGCTGAAGGGGCCAACTCATGACATGTGTGACGACATAGGAGGTTATGGATGGGCTGGTGGGGACACTGCTACTACTGCGTCAGTCAACAATTGCGACACCCACCACCTCATGCTATCTCATATTTCGTCATCTGTTGCAGTCCTTAATTTATTAAAGCATCCTCTGAAGGTTCTATCTTTTACGAGGTTATTACATTTCAAGTTTTAGTGAGAATTTCATCTTAAATGGGCCGAAAAATTAAGACTAAATCCATCACCTAGGGTTAGCAATTTCTTTTTTTTAATAGCATAAAATGAGGCTACATCTAGCCCCAAAAAACAGTAGATTCTACAAAAAAGTAGCAACTTATGTGAGCAAAATTATATCATTTTCTCTCTACTTGCGAATACACTTATATTCTTCTTTATTCTTCTTTTAATTTTTTTTCTAACAGATTTTTCTTGCAATTTGGCTAATTAATGATTGTTTTAATATTCTTAAAAATTAAATTTTCAATTGATTTAACGTTCATTGGCATTGGTGAGTGAAATTTTCAATTTTTTTTTTTCAAATTGTATGATACTAATTTACCAATTGGTGCTAGGTAAATTGTTGTGTCGTACGTGAAAATTAAATTATTTCAGATGGCGAAGAGGGGGTTTGTATATTTCAACGGATGAGATTGAGATAAATTGTTGTGTTGGATTAGATTCTCTTATCTCAGAGTGCTAGATAAATTGTTGTGTTGGATTAGGTTCTTTTATCTCAATCTCATCCGTTGAAATATACAAACTCCTACCTCGTCCACTGAAATAATTCAAGTTTCACGTGCATTATTCAATTTTTTCAAACAGTTAAGTAATAAGTCACTATTTTTGGGGACGTTTGTTTTTCATTGTCTTTTGGTTGGAGTTGTGTATGATATTTTATATTGTGTGGTCCTCAAGGTCCTTTATTGTTTTGGGGTTTTTGATATTTTCCCTTCTTTTTTTCTTTTTTCTTTTTTTTTGTCAACATTGCACATTTATTAAGACCAACTTCAATGGTGGGCTAAAAGCCAAATTACCCCCCAAAATTTCCCTCCAAACCCACTCCAACCCAAGGGGAAATTTTGAGGTAAATGCTAAATGCTAAACCAATGCCAAATTCCCCTCGAAATTTAGCTCAGAAATCGGGGTGGACTCTACCCAATATTTATCGGAATTTAAATTTTTTTAGATTAAAATCTTTATAAAATTAATTTACGATAGTCTACATACTTATTTAAAAAAAAAAATAATTTAACAAAAAAAAAGACTAAGTTCATTCTTTAATAATCCAGGGCTAAAATTTTAGAGTAGAAAAACTATTTTTGGGCTAAAAGCTAAATTTTTCGGACGAAAAAAATTTAACTTTTAGCCCAACCATTGGAGATGGTCTAATAAGGAAAAACAATACAAAGAGAGAAAAGCGTAACAAAGGCAGCCCAAGATATTAAATGAACACAAAGTAGAAACCCTAGATCTAACAAAGAAACAAAGCAGCCCAAACCAAGACACCCGGAAGCCCAAGAATCTGTTTGCGGTTCCCATAAAACTCACAGCGAGCGGAACAGCGAAACTCTTTTCGCTGAGACCAATCATCAAACAGTTAAGCTACATACCCAAATGGGAGGCGGCGGCGGCAGAGGCAGAGGCGGTTCTCGCACTCAGCGACGCCACTTCCGTCAGAACAGAGAGAACGTTTGGAAGCGTCCCAAGTCTGATCCTTCCTCTGAAACCACCAATGAAAACAATGGCGAGAATCGTGGTTGGGAACCCTTTGCCACTCAAAACCCTGCATTCGATGAATACTATAAGGTGATATTAGATTCTATATACATATATATATATATATGTTTGTATGTTTATATATATGCATGTATGTTTTTGGAGTAAAAGTTTGTTTATTTTCTTCTTTTGGAAGTAAGTTATGGTCGTTATTTATTCGTGTGTGGAATGTGTTAATGGTGGTAGGAGCAAGGGATAGTGAGCCCAGAAGAGTGGGATGCGTTCATTGAAGTTCTTCGAAAGCCGTTGCCTGCTGCTTTTAGAATCAATTCAAGGTGATTGAAATAATGTCTTTTCTATGTGTTTTCATGTTTTAAATGCGGCTTACTTCTATGTGACACACAATTCTCAATTGAACTTATGTGGATATTGCAGTAGCCAATTTTGTTCGGATATCCGAAGGCAGTTAGAGGATGACTTTATGATCTCTCTGCAATCTGAGGTTGGTCTCTTGTAGGCTACTTTACAAATGAAATGTAGCGAAAAACTGTGCTGCATCATTTGGGTTTTGTTGTAAATTCTAAGGTATTTATGATTATATAATCTGTACTATTCCAGGTAAGTGAAGGGGGTGAACCACAGCCTATTAGGCCGTTGCCTTGGTATCCTGAGAATCTAGCTTGGCATTCGAATTTCTCT